CTCCCAGGAGCTTTCAGAAGGTCCCAGAAGCTCTCCGAAGCTCTCAGAAGCATCCAGGATCTCTCTCTCTCTCTCTCTCTCTCTCTCTCTCTCTCTCTCTCTCTTTTTTCGCATCTCTCAGAATATTTCAGAGTCTACCAGCTCCCAGGATATCTCAGGATCTTTCATAAGCTCTCGGAAGCTCTCACAAGCTCTCAGAAGCTCTCAGATGTTCTCAAGACCTTTCAAAAGCTCTCAGGAGCTCGCAGAATCTCGCAGAAGCTTTCGGAATTCTTGAGAAACTCACAGACTCTCGCAGAATCTCGCAGGCTCGCCCAGAATAGTCCAGACGCTCTCAGAAGCTCTCAGAAGTTTTCAGAAGCTCTCAGAAGCTGTCAGGGGTTCTAAGAAGCTTTCATGAGCTTTCAGAAGCTGTCAGAATGTTTCAGAATCCTTTGGGATCTGTCAGAATATGTCAGAAATTTCAGAATCTTTCAGAATCTGTCATAATCGATTGTAATCCCCAAGAATCTCTTAGAACCTTCCAGAATTTCTCAGAAGGTCCCAGAAGCTATTAGAATCTTTCGGAATCTCCCATAATCTTTCAGGAAGCCTCAGAAGCTCTCAGAAAGGTTTCAGCAGAGTTCCCTGGCAGTTTCCTGTCAATTCCCCCTGGCAGATCTCCTTACACCCGCGAGAGTTCGTGTCGCTGCAGTTGCCCCGCGCGGCCCGCCGCTCCGCACGGACACCGTGTCCGCCGCAGCGCCGTGGCTCAGAAGAGCGAGGAAGCTGAGAAACGCCATCCACGACCCCACTTCTAGTCACTTTCCTGAGGACGCCGACGCAGACGACGGTCTTGTCAAAGTGCTCGTGTCGGCGGGACGAGCATGCCCATTTGAAGCGCACCTCGCCGCCATCGGAGCGTTGCCTTCCCTTCCAACACACCTCTGGGGCAAAGCACACGTTGCACTTATCGACGACGTTGGTCGAGCCGCAGTGCGCGATGATACCCATCGGTCGCTGAAAGTGGGTATTTTCGGTTTCCCAGATTCCAACCTACTTTGAGCGCCTTCCTACTTCAATGATCGAGTTGCCTCACCTCTTCCGTCCTCTTCAGGGGGCGGGCGGACACCCAATCTGTTTTCAGCGCCTTCCTACTGCATGTGTCTACCTGCTTCTTCCGACCGATGGGCACGCACGTCCCGCGCCTCCGTGGTGTCAGTCAACGCGTCAGGGAAGTCTGTCCTGGCGTAGACAGCATGGGCCCAGACGGCAGCCTGGGTCTCGAGGCGCTCCTCGCTGCCGGCCCGTCGCCGACGATGGAGCGGCAGCGTGGGAGGCAGCGCGCCAACGAAGCCTGGCACGCGCGCGCCCCCCTCCCTGCGACGGGTCCCTGAGCACCGAGGACCCCTCGCTTCGGTGCCGGCCGTTCTCTGCAGGGGCAGAAGACGCAGAAGGAACTCGGAGGGACGGCGGTGCCGATGAGAATCGCAACGATGGGCCTTTTCCTCAGCGCCGCGAGATCTCCCAGCAAGGCGTTTGCTCGGGTGCCTCTCTTGCCCCGCATGCCTATACGACCACCCTTCGGGTGATAAGGAGCTTGTGGGGGGGGGAGGGGGGGAACCAACATCTGACTCAATCGATTTCACTACCGATCTCACTCAACGGGACACCACGGGACACCACGGGAAACTTGTCGATCTCACTATCGATCTCACTATCGATCTCACTCAACGGGACACCACGGGCCACCACAGGACACCACGGGACACCACGGGACACCTCTCGATCTCATTATCGGACTCACTATCGATCTCACTATCGATCTCACTCAACGGGACACCACGGGCCACCACAGGACACCACGGGACACCACGGGACACCTCTCGATCTCATTATCGGACTCACTATCGATCTCACTATCGATCTCACTCAACGGGACACCACGGGACACTTGTCGATCTCATTATCGATCTCTCTATCGATCTCACTTTTTGGGACACCACGGGACACTTCGGGGCACCACATCGATCTCAGTATCGATCTCACTATCGATCTCCCTGAACGGGACACCAGGGGGCAGCACGTGACACCAAGGGACACCTGTCGATCTCACTATCGATCTCACTATCGATTTCACTTTTTGGGGCACCACGGGACACTTCGGGGCATCACACCGCTCTCAGTATCGATCTCACTATCGGTTTCACTATCGATCTCATCGATCTCATTATCGATCTCACTATCGATCTCACCGTAGCGATGTCTTGATTTGTCTTGATTTCGCCGTAGCGACTATCGATCTCACCGTATCGATCTCGGGGAGAATCATTTGTCTTGATTTCGCCGTAGCGACGGCGGACACCACGGGACACCACGGGACACCGCGGGACACCGAGGGCCACCGCCGGACGGAGGAGAATCATTTGTCTTGACTTCGCCCTAGCAATGGCGGACACCACGGGACACCACGGGACACCGCGTGCCACCGCCGGACGGAGGATAATCATTTGTCTTGACTTCGCCTTAGCAACGGCGGACATCACGGGACACCACGGGACACCGCGGGACACCGTTAGAGCCACCGCCGGACGGACGGACGGACGGGGGAGCAACATTTGTCTTGACTTCGCCTTAGCAACGGCGGACACCACGGGACACTGCGGGACACCGCTAGGGCCACTGCAGGACGGACGGACGGACGGGGGAGCAACATTTGTCATGACTTCGCCTTAGCAGCGGCGGGTTCATTCATCTCGCACGCCCACGCAGCTTCGCCTCGCCCGCACGCACGACACGAACGAAACGAAACGATTTCCCTGTTGGGGGTCTCCGTTCCACTGCGATCTCAACCCCCGACCTCCGAACCTAATTATCTTGCCGAACTTTGCGTGCGGGCTGGTGTAAGCGGGGGTGCACATCCGGGCAACTAGCCGTGCCCGTGCAGCGTTTTCAACGCCATCAGTCCGTTTCATCCGACGTGCCAGCGGCCTGGAGCTTCCCGGCGTCCTCTTTTCCGACCTCTTGCGGTCGGTCTCTTTCTGTAGGCCGAGGGCGCGGCCGATCTCATCGTGCAGCCCGCTCCAGGAACTTCTTTGCACTCGAGGATCGAAGGAATTGGCATCTCTTCCTCGGCGGAAGGGCCAAGGACACCGGCGGGCGTGCAACGGGGGCGGGCCCGCTAGCGGAAGCCGGCGGAAGTAAGTCATGAGCCCTTGAGATGGGGCAAGTTTGGACGCTTCGCGGATCTCCACCCGCCACGCTTGGGCGTGTGGGCCTTGGCGCGGGCCACATTGATCGGCGCACTCTCTGAGCGACCTCACGTTCTCACCGAGTGGCCGTTGCCTCCGCTGGGTCCAGTCCAGACCGTTGGACCACTGGGCTCAGGCGCATCCCCACAGTGGAAGATCCTTACCTCTGCCCGCGGGGCTTCAGCTTCCACCTCACGGATGCCTGTTCTGATGCTGCGACGGTTCGCTGGCGCTGTCAGAGTACTTTCCTGCAGGACCGCGTCACCAGCTCTGTCTGCTCATACCCGTCAGACTCCCTGGACTGACTTTCCTGCCTGGAGGTCGTTCCCTACCTTACTGTCGTCTTGTTACGATCACGGCGGGAACGCCCACGCGCCATTTTGGCCGCGCTGGCTCCCCTCGGTGGCTGATCTCTCAGACTCCCTGGGTTTGCCGTTTGCACGTTTCCTTGGGCTGTCCTTGCAGACTCCCTGGGATTGCACGCCCGCTGGCCTCTCAGACGCCCTGGGTTGCCGCCGCTCGCCGCCTGATCCGCGGCTCCGCGCGCGCCCGCTACTTAGTCGCGGCCGCAGCCCGACCGTGACCGCTCGCCGTCGGCGCCTCCGCCTGCGGCTGTAAAACAAAAAAATCTCCACCCGCCCATCCAGAAACGATGCCCTGGGGATCTACCCTGATCAGGGATGTGGAGGAGCATGCAGTGGATCAGAGGGCTGGGGAAGCCTTCGTACCCCGAGAGGGGGGGGATGGTCGAGGAATCGGAGGAGGAGGAGGAGTAGGAGGAGGAGGAGGAGGAGGAAGGAGGAGGAGGAGGAGGAGGAACTGGGCTCGTCGTTCTTGTCCTGCCCTTCGTCATCCTCATCGGCACCTTCCTCGTCCTTCTACTGCTGCTCTTCCTCCCCCTCTTGCTGCGTGCCATCGTCTCCCGGGCTCCCATTGCACTTCCCCCTTGCGGCACCTTTTGACGCCGAAGTCGCCATGGTAGCAATCGACTGGCCTCCTTCTCTGCGGCCCCCTGCTCCCCACCCGCCTCCACCTCTCCACCTCCCCTGACGACGACAATCATGACGACGACGGAGATCAAGACCGCTATGATCGAGACGGCGACCACGAGGACTACAACCCCTGACATCCGCCGATGCTTCTGTTCAGTCCACGGCCTAATTGCTCCTGTCACCGTCCCCGGGGCCAGGTTTCCGCCCCAGATCCTTTTCTGTCGTCCCGGGGCTTGGTATCAGGTCCCGGGGCCGGCATCGAGGAAAAGCAAGCGGGTTGAAAAGAGCACACTGTCGGCTTCTGCGACTCTGACGGTCCCGCCGCCGACCACGACCCCGCGAAGGCCTGCCGATCAGGGGCCCTTGTCGCCATTTCGTCGCCGAGAGGGGCCTGATACCTCCAACCTCCCCAGGAGCGCACGGATGTGCGATCGGGGGACTGTCGCCGATCTATCGGCGGTAGTATATCGCCGGTTCCAGCTCGACGATTCCCCCCTTGAGCCGGTCCCCCTCTCTAGGGAAACAAAAAGTGACATAGACAAAAAACCTCGGAGGTTAGCGCGGATTTCTCGGATCGGCGCTGGACCCCCCTCCATGGCGCACGGAGCGCGCCAGGGGCGGCGCCGGAGGCGCCGCTGGGGGGCTCCAGCGCCGATCCGAGAAATAAATCTGCGCGGACCTCCGAGTTGTTCTGTTTCTGTCATTGTTTGTTTCCCTACTCTCTATCGTCACTCCTCGGCCGAGGTGGCTGCGGATCCCGCCCCTGGTCCACCGGGAGGTCTGCGAGGTGCCAGATCTGCGCCCGGGCGCCGGCGAGCTCCGCGAGGCACCGCGTGCGAGAGCCGCTCTCCGCTCTCTCGCGCGCGACGCTTTGCCGCCGCGGGCTGCCGAGGTGGAAGAGGAGGAGGAGGAGGAGGAGGAGGAGGAGGAGGAGGAGGAGGAGGAGGAGGAGGAGGCAGAGGAGGAAGAGGAGGAGGAGGAGGAGGAGGAGGAGGAGGAGGAGGAGGAGGAGGAGGAGGAGGGAGCTGCTCGGTCACAGTTGCTACATCAAGCAGAGTCCGTCTAGTGGGCCACGGGACCCTGTCGAGGTCCGTGCGAGGAGGAGGAGGAAGAGGAGGAGGAGGAGGAAGAGGAGGAGGAGGATCGAGGGTTCGTGCTTTTGGGGGCGACTTTGGCTCTTTCTGGGCCTTTGGGGGCTTCCGTGGGCGGCGCGGACCTCCAGGGGTCTCCAGGGGACCTCTGGGGAGCTCCAGAGGCTTTTAGGGTGCGTCCGATGTTTCTGGAGACCTGAAGGGTTGCGAGGCTGTTTGCCGACGCGAGAGTCTGAGGAGAGCTGGGACGAATACCGAGAAACAGTTTCTGCAGAAACAGTTTCTGCCCATTTTGAACAGGACTCGCTGTAGGCGTCGCCGCGGACGTCGTTGTCCATGTGGGGCAGAAGGACGCCTGCCCGACAGCAACCGCTGTCGGTTTGGGACAGCGTTTGCTGTGGGGCATCGTGCCTTTGTTCTCCGTGTCTATTTCGGGCGGGCCAAGAAGGCGCCAGTCTCAGGCAGGAGGCAGGCTGGGGTGGGGAATCAGGAGAGGAGAAGGTACCGATACCGTTGCTCCTCCTGGAGAGCCCTCGTCGCCACGGCTGGATTCTCCCTGGAATTCTGGCCACTGGATTCTCCCCAGAATTCTGGCCAGAGCGCGCTCTGGGAGAGGTCCGCGGAGTAGCGGCAGAAAGCGCAGGGTTCGCCAGGGATCGGTTTTTCTTTGACAACAGCCGAAGCCCTTCCAAGCCCCGCCGAAAGAAATCCGGGAGGCTTCGGGGAGGGTTTCGGGAAGGTTTCGGGCGGGTGTGGGTCGTTCTAGAGGAAACCAGTCCCGAGCGAGCCCTGGACTTTCCAGGAGCAGCGCGTATCGGTGCATATGTTCCGCCAGGGAACATATTCAGGCGTCGAGGTTTAGACAGGATATCCACTGCCCTTTTGCAAGCCAATCCTGGACCAGAAGCGGGCGCGCACGCCTACGTGGCCTAGCCGGGATGGCGTGATGCACGGATCTTGGGGCCAGGATTGGCCTGGGAAGGGGCAGTGGATATGTAATAGACATACATGGAGAGAGAGAGAGAGAGAGAGAAAAAAAAAAAGAAAGAAAGAAATAATAACAAAAAACAAAACCACAAATGTCGTCGTTGCCCCAGATCCGTGGCCACCTCACGCCGTGAAGAATAACGTGAGGGGATGTTTCTGGCAAGCGTCGGCCTCCAGGGGCCCCTGCCGTGCCCCCCGGGCCGTCAGCAGAACGAGGCGGGATGACCGACCGCATCCCTGGAAGAGGTCCAGACCTCCAGGGAGCCACGTTGTGAAACAGTCATGACGTCGGATGTCTGGAATGGGGGGGGGAGGTCAGGGAAGTGAGAAAAACTGATTTCTTGGATTGCAAAGCTGTTGAAGCCGATGGCCTGTCAGCGGACTGCGGCGCTGCAGCTAGCAGCATATCAGAAAAGCAAACACTAACTAGCTCTGCACCGGCACCAAGCAGCAAACACAGTACAGTACGATAAGACCCCCGCGACAGAGCGGACGGAGCGTGTCGAACCGAAGCAAGGTGTCAAGACCTTCCTAATTCTCACAACAATCCCCACCCTCCATAATAGGAAACTGGACGGAAAGCACTAAAGCGGCAACAGGTGGTTTGATGTGTCCGTCCAGGGCACTCGGGAGGAGGGGCGGATGGAGGGAGTTCCAGAGAGGGAGAAGGCTGAGATGCAGACCGAAAAACTCCTGCTCTCGTGACACCAGCCTCTCTCCCTTCCCTTTGAAAACCCACTCCATCCACAGTAGGCGGTGACATACGGATCTAGACATACAATGCTCGCGTGCCGTGCCCTGCCCCGGCACTGGAGGAGATGCGGAGGGAGGGGATGATAATGCCGGGGAAATGGGAGTAGGGCTGGGGCACAGCCGACATCCCTATGTGTCTTAGCAATGCAAAGATTCCGCCTGGAGGCACCACAGAAATAACTAACTACCACACGGACATTTCGGCCAGGATAAGTGCAGTCTATTCGGACGGCGGTGGACAAAGAAGATCGTTATTCGCACCCACGCCCATCACGAGCAACGACATACTGCGGCGACCCAACATGCAGTTATCAGAACACCCTGGCAGGAGATGGGAAAAATCGTTGCTTTCAACATGGCGGACGTTGAGGAATTTCTGGAGACGCAAGTGACAGTGACAAAATGTCAGGACTGTGCTTGTGGAGGGAGGAAGGGGGGGAGGGACGAAGAAATATGCTCCCCACACCCGACCAACCTCCTCCTCCTCCTCCTCCTCCTCCGCCTCCTCAAGAACGCTCTTCCAGGGTCGGCCTCGAACGACGACAGTGCCGAATGACTTGGCGGGCTGGCGCCTCATTCATTCGTATCGAGCCTGCTCATGATGCTGAGCGTGAACGGGTGATAAGTACGGACTCCAGGACTAATGTGAGGGCGAATGGAGAAGCGCAAACTACACAGCCAATATTCGTTCTTGAGCGAGGCGGGGGGTGGGGGAAATCTTCGCACCCTCGCGACGCGCACGACTGAAGGCGGCGGAGGCAAAACAGGCGACTCGCTTCAAGCTTGACAAGGGAGAAATGTGCTCGCTCGCTCTAACGACCAAAAATCTCAATTCAACGAGCTGTGTCAGAGGAACCTTTGCGGTAGAACATGTCGCCTATGAAAGATCCCGACTATGCGAGCAGGAAATCGCGCAGGGTACACAGAGCAGCCAGAGCATCGTACCTAAGCGAGGGACGGGAAACGTTCCCACCCGTGCGACGGCGGCGGAGGCAGAGCGGAGGCAAAACAGCGACGGCGAGGGACGGACGAGCGACGGCGGCGGAGGCAAAACAGGCGACTACCTCCGAATTTGATATAGCGAGAAGGAGCGAAGTTGCGACCATAGCAGTCCAGTGTCGGCTGCAATATTCTCAGTTACAACTCTTTCAGCGAGCGCGGCGACCACATGAATTGAGGGGCCGATGTGGAGGTGGAGGTGCAGGAAGGAAAAGGTCCTGAACGCACCCACCTACGCACATGCACCCGAACATCTCTTCGCTCACTCTGCCTTATAATGGCTCGGGGCGAGCGGTATAGCTACCGGGGCGCGGTGTATCTTAATATACTTCCACTGCAAGCTCATCCCCGACTCCACGACATTTGTGCGACGAAGCGAGTGACTGGACATCCGACATCGCGTTTCTCATGGCCAAAAGTATTGTGATCGAAAGGAACAGGCACGGCTCTGCGGACTGGGAGCTCTGCAGAAGCGGCGGCAAGCTCCAGAGTAGCGCCAGCTCCAGGGGGGACCTGGGGCTGGCTCGACGACGGCCATTTGGAGCTCCAGGGCGTCGGTTGCGGCTTCGATCGCCATCGCTAGCGACGTCCGCGGGGTGGGGCCCGCAGGCAGTCCCGCCACCTCCCCCGGGCCCAGGCGGGGAACGCTGGCGGGGAGGGGCTTGCCCACCACCGCGTCGCGACCAGCGCGAAGCTCAGCTGCGGCAGCACTTCCCCCGGACATGGCGTCAGCCACGGCAGCGGTCTAGCGATCGGTCATGGTCATGAGCGCGGCCACAGCGGCAGCACGCGCCAGCCTGGCAAACTTGTCGCCCGCTTCGCCCGCAGCAGCATCGGCGGCGCCGCGCGTCGACGAGCACGGAGACGTAACTGGCGGCGGCGGCGCGCCCCGCGTCGGGAGTGGAGGCGGCTCATGGGCCGGAGGCTCGCCCCGCCTGGGGACGCAGTGGGGAGCGAGCCCAGCTGCGCGTGCAGGACGAGCAGCGCGGGTTCGAACTAGCACGCAACGAGGGGCGTCAAGTCCCGCGCGGGCGCCGACGCCGACGCCGAGCTCCTTTAGCAGGATGTCGATCGGACCTGGCTGGGGCTTCGTCGGCGCAGTCCAGGAAGGCGCCGAAGGCGGCGACCTCGACGACGGCGAGGACGACAGCGAAGAACGCCGTGCTGGAGCGGCGCCGCCGGCAGCCCCAGAAAAAGGTTCATGCACCCCGCCACGAACGTCGGGGCCGCTGCCCTCGGCGCCGCCTCGTAGGCGTAGGCATCGGCACTGCCGGCCACTCTTGTCGGCTGGATCCGGGCATGCGCCGGGGCCCACTGTGACATTCGAATCCCACTCAGTCTCGTTTCTGTTTGTATTTTGGTGTATATTTGCACAGAGCAGTAGAAAGGAATACTCATGTACAGCTCTTCATGCAGATGTCGCGTCGTTCATGCCGATGTCATTTGCTGATCGAGGGGCCCCTGAGTCGAGAAGAAGGTTGCGCATCGTTTCTCGTTTTTTCCAGCACGAGTTGATATTCAGGAATATCTGCCCGTCGAATTTCACCGAAAAGATTTAGTTTGCTTTCGTCGGTTGATATCGGTAGCACAGCCTGTGATTCACCTCGCCGGTTCCGCTCCCGCCGCGCCGCCGCCGCCGCTGGGCGCCGCCGCGGCAGTTGCCCCCCGCCCCCCCCCCCATGCGAAAAGGGGAGCCCATTGTTTCAAGGGAGGCAACGGCGCGGCCGCGACGGCCGCCGCAGCCCAGGCCGAAATTGATGGATGGATGGATGGATGGATGCGCTTCGGTACCAAATCATGGGTTTCGGTACCAAACTTTATTTCGAGAGCACCGGCGTGCGCTGGTGCCTCGTACTTGAATCGATGGGAAAGCGCCGTTTGGGTGTCGGTGGGCGTCGGCATAGCGTCGGCTCGCGTCAGCTAGCGTCGATGGGGGTCGATTCGCAAGCGCCAGCAAGATGGCATGGGAGCCTCCCGGGAGTTCCCGCCGAAGACGGGCGGATGGCTGAATGGATGGACGGATTGATGCTCGCCTGCTGGATGGGCGGAGGAGCCCGGGGACACCAGCGCCCCGTGGCGCCACGCGCGGCCGCAGGGCTCGGTCCTGACGTTGCCGGTGCTCCCGCTGCGGAGGGTCCCGCTGCCCCTCTCGGAGCACAGGCCTGGCAGGGGGAAGTACACCCTGGGCGATGCTTAAGAAAACTTGCGTGTTCGGCCAGAGTCTCGGTTATCCTTAACGTTTTAATGCAATTCCTACGATTTTAACCGGAATTCTGGGGTTTTATTCGAATCCTGAGACTATGAATTTCTGAACCCGTGATTTCTTAGGCATTTCGCAGGGTGTGTCGTCGTCGTCGGAACCATACCCACCCCCACCGGGGCAGGGCAAGCAGTGGCTCTCGCAGCGTGTTCCCTCCGGGTGGGGGACGGGCGCCCCGAAGCCCGACCGAGACGGTGCCCATCCCCACCCGGGGGGGGGGGGTTGTAGACGGCGTGCCCAGCGGGGCCAAGGTTTCCCCGGTGGGGGGTGGGCATTGGTTGACTTCGTACAGAACATGTCGGAGGGAGGAGGAGCGATACCAACGCCACCAGGGGGCCGACCTCCAGCGAGGAGGTCCGCGATGCCTCCCCGAGCTGGATGCTGGGGATGTCTCGAGCGGGAGGGGGACCACACCGCCAGGGAGACTCCCCTCGCCTCCTCGCACCTCCTCGCCCTGCTGGTGTTGGTGTCGCCTGTCCTTGTTCCTCAAAATCAGAACTGTTGAGTTTGGTTTTGTTCATCCTCTGGCGCGTAATTAACGGTCGCGACGGTCAGGATTTTGTTGGCCAGCGCGTCGTTCCGCCCGTTCTCGCCCACCGTTTTTTCGGCGCGCCACGTTATCCTTTTCGGGTGCCCCCGGCGTCGGCGCCCCGAGCTCTTCCCGAGCCTCCCGCCCCGCGGGGCGGAGCGACACGCTACCCCGCTTGCAAAGCAAAGCGTGCCGCCTCGGCCGCCGTCGCGACGCGCTGAGCAGAAGTTCCCTCCGTACCTGGGCCAAAACCAGCTCTCCCCCCAGGTACATTCGGACCGAGGTACAACATCGAGGTCGATTCTGGGAGGGTACCCAAATGTTCTTCGTGTTTGTTGGATGTTCTTGTGCATCCTGTGGGAGAGTACCCTCGAATTTTTCTTCAGTTTGGCCTTCGGAGGGTCTTGTGTTCTTGAAGGATGTTCTTCTGTCTTAGGTCCCGCTGTAGCAGTAACGCTCGCACGCAGGGGAAAGAGGGGGGATTGGATCCCCCCCTGCATGCTGGTGCTCGCGCGCGTTCTGTGGCGATTCCAGCGCGCCCGTGCCCCGACGTGCCCCCAAGCCGCCCAAGCGTTGCCAATTACCCGGGCCCCTTCTCCCCATCCCTTGAACGAAGGATTGCAAAATAACCAAGGATTGCAAAAAACGAAGGATTGCAAAAAAACGAAGGATTGCAAAAAAACGAAGGATTGCAAAACAACCTTCTTTTTTGCAATCCTTCTTTTTTTGCAATCCTTCGCCCCCAGGTCACGACCATCACCGGGAAGCGCTCTTGAGCCCGCAGAGGGGGAGTCACGGCGGGCCCCCAGAGCGAACCGCGCACGCAGATGTTGCAACCAGTGGGTGTCCAGGGTACGGCTTCGACGAGGTTCGGTATTACTCGTTGCAACCTTTCTCAGGGCCATCTTGGCGTCCTTGGTGGGGGCATCCTTCGGAGGTTCATGGGCCACGAAGTGCGTGAGGGGTACGCCGAGTCGAAACTCCCCTGAACCGTCTGAGGGGTCAGCTGATGGCCTCGGGGAGTCCAGGAGGCTCGAAGTGCGTGAGGAGTGTGCCGAGTTGAAGCTCACTTTCATTTAGCCGTCTTGAGTGCCAGCGGATCGCCGCTGGCTTAACAGCCGAGCTCCCATGATTCTCGAAGTGCGTGAGGGGTGTGTGTGTGCCGAATGGAGGCTTTTCGGAGACTTGTCCTCCGAATCCCTCGTGCGTTATACGTGTCTCAGGGGCCAGGGCGCACAGGAACTGCGTGAGGGGTACGCCGACACGACGCATTCGCAGCCTGGAGGGTTTTAAGTGCTCCAGGTGCTGTCACGCGCGTGGGCCAAGCGCTGGGAACACGTTTCACTCATGTGTCCATGCGTCCCCAGGATAGCTGTACGGAATCGGCCGGCGGAATGCGCGAAGCTTCATTCGTGTTTTTACGTGTCTGCAGGAGGGTGTGCATGGAATCGGCCTTCTTGAGCGCGGCGGAGTGGGCGAAGCCTCCTTTAGCATGCCTTATGCATGCGTCTTCCTCTCCTCAAGTATCCTCCATCTCATCATCTACCCTCTGAGCTTACAACACGGCCAGGGCTCGCAGGGAGCCCGACGAACTGAGCCCGCATAGCGGGAGTCACGGCGGGCCCCCAGACGGAAACACGCACGCAGAGGTTGCAATCAGTGGGTGTTCGGGGTACGGGTTCGACGAGGTTCGGTACCACTCGTTGCAATTTTTCACAGGGCCATCTTGGCATCCCTTTGGGAGGGCAGGCGGTCATCGGAGCCAACAGAGGGCCTTTGGAGGTCCATGGGCCACGAAGTGCGTGGGGGGTGTACCGAATCGGAGCTGTCCTGAACCGTCTGAGGGGTCAGCAGAGGGCCCCGGGGAGTCCAGGAGGCACGAAGTGCGTGAAGAGAGGGGGGTGTAGGGGGCCACTCGCGAACCCTGCCCCTACCCCCCACGATTTCTGAGGGGGAGGGTGGGGTTCACTTCGTCTGGGAGCTCCCGAGCGTAGTGCACCCCACCCTTCCCCACAGAAATCGTGAAAAGTAGGGGTAGGGTTCGCATGTGGCCCCCTAGGGGTGGGGGAGGCGAGGAAGCACAGCGGTCCCCATGCAGTCCCTGCGGTGCAGTTTTCACCCCGGCCCGCGGGCGGCCCCCCTGGCAGTCCATGTGGTGCAGTTTTCGCCCTGGAGAACCGTTTCTGACGGCACCCGGGAGCCCGAGGACGGCCCCCACAGAGCTCGAAAGAGGCAAAAGCACGGGATCGATCCCAGCACCTCGAGCTTGTCTCAAGTCGGGCGTGTCCCCCCTACAGGGGGGATTCTCGACGAAGAATCAAACATACCCCAAAAATAAGCTAACAATGATACAAAAAACTATTTGGGGGGTTTTTCCCATTTGGGGACATTTTTTGGAGTTTTTTTTGTCGCCCAAAATCCCCCTGTAGGGGATACGCCCGACTTAAGGCTGGTCAGGAAAGGCCCGGCCTGCGGGCCGTGTGAAAAGGGCCGGCCAGCGGGCCGTATGTTGGGGGTGGACGGACCTCCTGGCCCTGACACGTCGATTAGTGAATTGGCCGAGTTTCGGTTCGCGAGAGGGCGTCGCGGCCGTCATCTTTGCGGGTCCAGGTCCGTCGGTTTCGGTCCCAGGCCGTTTTCACTGAGGGGAGGTCTACTAACGGGAGGTTTGTCCACCGTCGAGTATGGGCCGCAGCGGGCCCCGTCGGGCGCGAGCCCCGGCCAGCCAGGCTGCCGGCCTCCCAGCCAGAGCAGCGGCGGCTCTACGACGACCTGCTGCAGAGCGGCGACGCCGCTCCCCCACAGAGGGTCGGGCAGTGCCAAGGGTCAAGTCGTGCCTGTCCCTCTACAGGGGGAATATCCTCCGACGAAGGCATCTATACACCACCACCGTGTCAGGCCAGGGCCGTCCTGGGCCCCTGGATGGTGTATAGACCCTCCTTGCCTCGGCCAGAGTGGCGTATACATGCCAGGGCCAGGATAGCCCTGGCCTGGCACAGTGGTGGTGTATAGATGCCTTCTGCGTATATTCAAAAATAGTTAAACAAAAATAGTCTGGGGACCATTCTTTGAGTATCTCTGATAATTTTTTGAATTTTTTGGGGGTATTTTTCATTTTTCGTCGAAGATCCCCCTGTAGGGGGACAGGCCCGACTTACGCCATGGGGAAGGGGGTCACCATCAGGGGGGTCGCCAGTCCATCCTGAGGATGGCGTTTCCAGGATTCGGACCCAGACATGATCGCGTCGTCAAAAGATCAGGACGGGAAGGTTTCGCTATTTTCTGCCTCTGGAGGCCCTCGCCGGGCACCGGGACCGTCAAAGAACGACTCAGGAAGAAGAATCGGTCCCGGGGAAGGGGTCGGGACATCCGGGGACGCCGCACTGACAAAAATCAGGACGTCGCATGTCTGGGAAGAGCAATCGGGGGTATTCACATGATTTTCGGGGACGGCCCCAGGATGGGGTGTTGCCCAGGGGGGGGGGATAATCATGGCCAGGGCCATGGTGCCTCCCCGGATGTTTATAACCTTCTTATTCAATCGCTTCGCTCATTCCGCCGGCCCATGTTGCGTGATCGCTACTGCTTCGCCGTGGGCTCGGGGCCATTGTGGCGCCGCCGAGGAGGAGGAGGAGGAGGAGGAAGATGAGGATGGCGAAGGGGAAGGGAGGAGGAGGAGAGGATGAGAAGGACAGGAGAAGGATGAAGACAAGTAGGAGGAGGAGGAGGAAGATGAGGATGGCGAAGGGGAAGGGAGGAGGAGGAGGAGAGGATGAGAAGGACAGGAGAAGGATGAAGATAAGCAGGAGGAGGAGGAGGAGGAGGAGGAGGAGGAAGACGGGACGTTTATAACATGTGTATTTGGGTGCGTCCCCCGGCCTGCCCCTGGGCCGCGCACGTGCCTCGGGCCGTGAGTTGCGCCCCCCCCTCCCCCCCTCTTGCACGCCCCCCTCTTGCACGCCCCTGGAATTTTTCGCGCGCGGATGCCTCGGATCGGCGCTGGCCCCCCGTGGCGCGCGGGGGTCCGGCTCCGATCCAAGACATCCGCGCGGAGCTCCGAGGAAGTGTGTCTATGCTTATGGTGCTCCAACCGACTTTAGCCTTGATAGGCAGGAAGAATTTCGAGCGCCCCAGAAAGTACCGAAACTTAAGGGTTTTCGCGTGCCGGGCCCTGGGAGACACTGTTTCGACACTGTTTCGACACTGTTTTGACACTTTTCTGGGTGCTCGAAATTATTTCTTGGATGCGGTCCTTCAGTACAGTCGGGGTGTTGAAGAAGGAACCCTTTCCGTTGGGGAGGGGCTCCGTGTTCCTTGATTGTTTCTCAGCTTGCCTCAGGCTTCCCTGATGTTTTCGACCGGAAATCGAAGGTTAATTTATGGGAAAAAGGGGCCTCGTTCCTTATTTAGGGTTCCTTAGGTCAACGCCCCGACTGTAGGACGGGAGCAACATAAGTCTATGCCGTCCGTTGCTCCTCCAGGTGCCCCCAGAGGATCGAGGTTCCGCCATCATCTCTGGGGCCCTTCGGGCTCCTTGGGGGAGGGGGCCTCTGGCCCGGCCTCGGGCGCCCACCTCGAGGACACGTTGTTTCCTCGAGGACGTGGCGACCCGCCCAGTGGTGACCCGCCTTGGCTGTGCCTGGGAGAGGGGGGGGAGGAGGACAAGGGAGGAGGAAGATGAGGAGGAGGAGGAGGAGGAGGAGGAGGAGGACGAAAGAGGAGGAGGAGGAGCAGCAGCAGCAGCAGGAACATGAGGAGGAGGGGAGGAGGAGGGAGGAGGAGGGAGGAGGAGGAGGAAAGAGGAAAGAGGAAGAGGAAAGAGGAAAGAGGAGGAAGGAGGAGGGGAGGAGGAGGAGGAGGAGGAGGAGGGGAGGAGGAGGAGGAGGGGAGGAGGAGGGAGGAGGAGGAGGAGGGAGGAGGAGGAGGAGGAGAGGAGGAGGAAGAGGAGGAAGGGAGGAGGAGGAGGAGGAGGAGGAGGGAGGAGGAGCAGGCAGCGGCCGCTCCCCGGGGCGCCGGCGCAGAGCCTGGGGGGATCTTGCGCCGGCTCCCCCGCGCACTGTGCCCACGGGACAGGCCCCGCGGCGGAGGAGGGGGAGGAGGAGGAAGGAGGAGGAGGAGGAGGGGAGGAGGAGGAGGAAGGAGGAGAGGAGGAGGAGGAGGAGGAGGAGGAGGAGGACGAGGAGGAGGAGGAGGAGGAGGAGGAGGAGGAGGAGGAGGCGGAGGAGTAGGAGGAGGAGGAGGAGGAGGAGGAGGAGGGGGAGGAGGAGGAGGAGGAGGAGGAGGAGGAGGAGGAGGAGGAGGGGTGGAGGAGGGGGAGGAGGAGGAGGAAGGGGTGGAGGAGGGGGAGGAGGAGGAGGAGGAAGAGGAGGAGGAGGAGGGTCGGCCGCGTGCAGAGGGTGGGTATCGTTTGACCGCTCCCCATCCCCACCCATGCAGACCCCCACCATCTCATCCCCCTAGGTTTCGGGGGTTGGACAGACCTCCTGGCCCTGACACGTCGATTAAGGAATTGGCCGAGTTTCGGTTCGCGAGACGGCATCGCGGCCGTCATTTTTGCGGGTCCAGGTCCGTCGGTTTCGGTCCCAGGCCGTTTTCACTAAGGGGAGGTCTACTAAAGGGAGGTTTGTCCACCGCCGACGGTTGGGGATATGCCCTTCGAAATCTGGCAGAAGCTGCTTGTATCCCCATCTAGGGGGAGAAGCCGGCCAGTGGGGCCCAGGCCACGCGAGTGGAGATAGGGGTGGGTTAAACGATGCGCAGAGGGGGGTACGGGGGGAGGGGGGACGGCTCCTTAGAAGCACCCCTGCTTCTTAGAAGGCGCGGGCCTCGTCTGTGGACGTAAGGCCCGCGCCTTCCAAGAGGCAGCCTCCTTCCGAGAATCCTTCCCCCCTGCCCCATGCCCCCTGTGCGCGCGCCGCCGAGAGGAGACGAGGTGGCGAGGGCGCCAGGGGATGACGACGGCGAGCCGGCGTGGCAGGGGTGGAGGAGGCCGCGGAGGAGCCGGAGGAGAGCACGCCGCCTTCCAAGAGGCCCGCGCGCCTGCCCCGAACGGAGGAGCTTCGTTTGGGCTTCTTCCAGGGGCACTTTGGGAGGCGCAGTCCCTCGGCGCACCCCGGCGGCTACCCAGCCGTTTTGCCGGGGTCGCCAGGGTGCGCGGGGACGCTCCGTCGCCCCTTTTGGCTGAGCGCCAGGCTTGACTCGCGGCGGCGGCGGCGGAGGAAGAGGAGGAGGAGGAGGAGGAGGAGGAAGGAGGGTTTAAGTGAGAGGCAGGAGGCGTGCGAAGCCCGCATTGCGGTATCTTGTATGAGGCGTAAGAGTGCTTGTCTTTCAGTGGACGATGCTGGCCGCACTTTCAATCGCTCTTTCGAAAACATCCCAGGAGTTGTTTCCTAACCCAAGCCTGGCTCGGAGGTGTGAATTGTATTTTCTTGTTGTGACACATGCCATCGGTGGTATGGGCTCTGCTCTCTCGGTCTGGGCCTCGCCCCGCTGCTGGTGCGAGGCAAGAGGGACTTCGTCGGCGCGCTGTCGTACGGTGGGCGGCTTGCGCGGATAGGCGTGCTGCTGCACCTTCAGGATCGCGCCATGCAATTTTTTCTCTTCTTGGGGCGGGCGCTCTGTCTCTCTCTCCCTCTCTCTCCTCTTATTTTTTGTGTCTCTCTCTCTCTCCCTCTTCTTCTCGTGCGCTCATTTTCTTTCCATATGCTTGTGCCTCTTTCCTTCCATGCTCCTCCCTTGTGGTGCCTGTCCGTGTCAGTGTCTCTGTCTCTGTTTGTGTGTCCTTGTGTTTGTCTGTCTGGCCAAGCCGCGCTCGTGAGACGGAGCGTGCTGCATTCGACCTCGAGTATCAGGACGACGACGGCCGCCGCTGGCTCGACGTCTCCGTGCGGCACCCCGTTGCAGGCACCGCGGCAAACCAACGGGTCGCGGCCCGCCGCGACGGAGAGCGCCTGAGAGCGCCTCGCCCCGGGCAGTCGCCCACGAGCTGGGGCAACGGTTCGGGGCCGAGGAACGCCTCTGGTTTGAAACAGAATTCGGCCGCCCGCAAGCTCACCCGCGCGCGCCGCGTGCTCGCTTGCGGTTTGCAGGGCGAACTTGCGCGCATGATGTGCCCCGCAGCAGGTTTGCGTTGAGGCGCTGGCGGGCGACGCGGCGTCGGCGGCTTCGGCGCGGCGCCGGCGCGGGCGCCGCTTTGCGGCGGCGGCGGATGAGGTGCAGGCGGCGGCGCTGGCAGCGCGGTGGCGGCGCTGAGGCTCCGGCGGCTGGGGCGCCGGGAGCGGCGGCGCACTGCTCGGCGGACTGCGCCAGAAGCTGCTGCACCAGGCGCCACCACGAACTGGTGCGGCGCGCCAATGCCTCGGACGGCTGGCGCCTGCGCTGGCCAGGGGCTGATGGCGGCCCGCAGCGGGCACCTTGCCGCTGGGGCGTCGGCCTGGTGGCGGGTAATTCCTGCTCCCTGGGGAAAGTCCTGGTGAAGGATTTGTCCTCGGGTGGGGCGCCAGCAGCAGCACAACCAGCTTGCTGGCGCGGGTTTGATTGCTTGCTTCCTTGCCTGTAGTGTGGACAGATTGCCCCCGCTAGTCTGTTTATGTGTCTGTCTGCCTGCCTGCCTGCTTGCCTGCTTGCCTGCTCGCCTGTCTGCCTGTGTGTCTGCCTGTCTGTCTGTTTGGCTCTAGGACCGCCGTCACGTGCTCACGTTTGCGGATGATCCGACGTCTTCTTGCGGTCCCTGCGTGTGCGCATGTGACTTAGATCCGATGCCCTTGGGGCCTTTGGGGCGCAGAGTGGCGCGGACGTCGACGAGCCAGCGAGTCGGCGCCAGCGCCGAGCGCTAGTCTGCATGGGCAATGGGCGTTCAGCCGCAGACAACGCGCACGGCCACTTGCAAGACGCGCGGGCTCGTCTTCGGCGCCGGCGAGCTTAGCCCACGCTTTTTCCTTGGGTGCCCGCGGGCGCGCGGTGGGAGAGCGCAAGCTGTGGGCCCGAGCTCAAGCCCCTCGGCCGCGCCGCCCAAGAGGATGCCGACGCAACCCAGTTGCGCGCGCAGGCCGCTCCCGAGCAGGCGGCCCCTGGCGCCGCCTCGGATGGCGCGGTCGCTGGAGAGGGCGCCAGATTGCTCCGCGCTGGCCAGCGCGCCGCGCCCCGGCACCCAGCTTGGGAGGGGCTGCTCCTGCCCGACGCCGCCTGGTGGGGCGCGTTGCGTTGGGGGGGCGCCCTCGCAGCTGTCGCGACGACGCTCGCGCAGGCCCGGGGCCGGTTCCGGTGGGGCCTCCAGGAGGAGGCGCGGCACAAAGCCTCTGAGCTCCTCGAGCGTGCCCGCGGGACTTCGGAGGGCGAGAGAGGATTGAAGCCAGCGCCGCTCGTGGACATGGCCTTCTTGTCCAAGTCGCCCGAGGCGGCTGCGCGCGGGGAGTTGATCGCGGCAAGGCTCGCGCGGTTCCGGGGCGGACAGCGGACGGCCCATCCGGGCCGGCAGAACTGCCCCGAGGAGGAGCCGCGAGCATGCCGACAAACGCAAACGTCGAGCGGCCGAGCGGCTCGGGCCCGCGCTCTCGCCGCTTCCGAGGGGGAAGGGCGAGCGCCGAAGGCGGCCGCCAGCGCGGTGCTCGCCCCGCGAGCGCCGGAGACCTTGGGAGAGGTCCTTTTTGATTGCTCCCATGAGGACGCTGCCGCGCCGGCCCTGCGCGGCGCCCGCTCGAACGGGGGCAAGGAGTTGCTCCGGGCGGTGCAGGGGGAGATCCGGCGCCTCTCTCGCGTGCCAGCTCGGTTCGCCGCGCCGGACCCGCTCGGCGCGAGGCTGGATCGCCTCGAGACAGCGACGACCAACCAGGAGACTTTGCAGCTCTTCTCCAAGTCTCCTTTCGCCGGCGCCGCGATGCCAGGCTCGCGCGCTTGGGAGACGCTGCTGAGGCGCGACCTGGGCTTTCCCGCGCGCCTGCGCGGACTCGGCGGGCAGCTGGCCTGCTCGCGGCGGAGCGCCGCCCCCCCCCCCCCCCCTCGGTGCGGCGCGGCCGAGGAAGAAGCTAGCGCTTGCCTGCCGCCGCGCGCGAGCTGGAGGAGGCGAGGCAGGGCCAGGCTGGGCAGGGGCCGCCGCCGGCGGACGACCTGGCGCGCGAGCTCACGCAGGGCTCGGCCATGGAGAAGGCGCAGAAGACACGCCGCGCTGCGCTCCTGCAGCGTTTGCCTTTCCTCCAACAGGCCGCTCTGCGAGGGCGAGCGGGGCCGGGCGCGGAAGCCACCCTGGGCCCTGGGCCGCCCCCTCGGCTATCGCGCGGCCCCACCCGCCAGAGCGGCGGCGGGGCGGTGCGCGGGCGCGGCAAGCTTGCACGGCGGCTCGGCGGGCTGCCGCGGCGCCGCTGCAGGCGCGAACTCCCGCTCCACGAGCAGCGGGCCCCGCTCTAGAATGGGCCGGTCACCCTGCGGAGACAGATCGCGCCGCGCTCGATCGAGTTCCAAGACGACGACGGGCGTCGCTGGCTCGACGTGTCCGCGCGGCACTCCGCCGCGGGCGCCGAGGCGGATCAGCGGGCCGCGGCCCGCCGCGGCGGCGAGTTCAGCTGGCGCGGCGAGCGAGACAAACGCGCTCGCTACCCAGGCGAGCGCCTCATCCCAATCAACTTCGAGGCGGGGGGGGCGGCGCGGGGCCGAGGCTCGCCTCTGGCTGAAGGTTGAGGTGCGCCGCTTGCCCGACGCCGAGCAGGCCCGCGAGTCCGCCCGCGCGCGCCGCGCGCTCTCCTGCGGCGCGCCAGCGCGCGGCCGCGGGCTTGCGCCGAGGCGACGGCGGGAGGGGCGCCGGCGCCGCGGCAACGGGCGCCGCGACGTCGGCGGCGGCAGCGGCCACTGGGGCGCCAGCGGCGGCGACGCGCCGGCGGTGGAGAACTGGCGTTGACTGCGGCGCCAGAGGCGGCGACGGCGGCTCGCCAGGCTCTAGCGACGGCGACGCGCTGCTGCCGCGAACGGCTGGCCTCGGGGAGCTGCGGCGCGCGGCTGCCTCCTGCGATGGCCGGAGCGCCCCCCCGCGGGGGCGCCGCGAGCTGCCGCGGGGCCGCCGAGCTTCGGGCGGCCAGCGACCTGGGGCGCGGCGACGCCCCGCTGCTGCGTTGACTGGGGGCCCCCTGCCTGTCCGCCGCCGCTGGGGCGGCGCGCGCCGCGTTTCTTCTTGCTGGCCTGGTCGGCCGTGCGTCCTCCATCCCAGCAGGCGAGCGAGGAACTGGCACGGCTACCTTGCGAGCCTGCCCAAGTCGCGAGGTGTGCGTGGGCTGCTTTGCCGCGGTGGATGTCCAAGCGAAGCTTAGTACCGAAGGCAGTGATTTGCCTTCTGAAGGCGACCCCTTTTTGCATTGAGCTCGCCAGAGGCAACAATGAATGAAGGCAGCCGCTCCCTTTTGAAGGCATTGCTTCTGTGCGCTGAACCGGCCGCGCAGAAGGGGGAAGGAAGATGTGCTTTCAGTTGACGGCGTGCAGGGGGGGCGTGGAGAAGGGGGGAGGCTGATTAGATGGCGCGGGCCTCATCTGTAGATGTAAAGCTGGTGCCTTCTGACAAGCAGCCTCCCTCTGGGAAGCTTCCCCCGTTCTCCATGCCCCCTTGTGCACGCCGCCAACTGAAAGCACATCTTCTGCCGTTGAATATGTGTCTTGGCATCGCTCGGGCGTGTGCACTTGTTCTCGGCACGAACCATCGAGGAACATTTTGGGCCATCTTGCGAATTCTACACGAAACCGAAAAAAAGGCACAAAGCATCGGCCTCCGAACGACGGCGGCGAGCTGCGCCCCCCCACCCCGCAGGAGCTCTCCGAGCTGCCCGGCATGCCAGGGCCCGGCCGTCCGCTGTGGGTGGCGCCCCCCCCCTCCCCCCGCGCGCCCTCCGCCCGCCCCCGCCCGTCGCCCGCCCGCGGGTTCTCTTTTAGCGGCGCGTACAGGGGGATAGGGGAGAGGGGGTGAAGCTTCTTAGAAGGAGGCTGCTTTTCAGACGCCGCGGGCTTTACATTTACAGACAGGGCCCGCGCGTTCTGAGAAGCAAGCGTGGGTGTTTCTAAGAAGCCTTTTCCCCCCCTCCCCCCCTCCCTGCGCGCCGCCAATTCTTCACGAACTTTGGGCTGCGCTGCTATCCGGGTTTCGGACGCTACGAGTGCCTGGTGTCTTTCCAGCACCGTCGAGGTTCCCAAAGGCTTTCTGAGGCCTTTCGGGGCGGATGTCGTCGGAAGCCCAGCGGCGCCCAGGACCTAGGAGATTCTTCGAGGCGCCCGGGGAGTGCCGTCAGAATCTCTCGAGGCGCCTCGGAGACTTTCGTACGTTCTCGGATGTTTCGGGAGCAGGGGAGGGCGGATCGGACGGAGGAGGAGCGCCTTGAGAGAGCTCTAAGGGGCTAGAGGGCTCTTGGGTTCTGGGGGGTCAGGGGAGAGGAGGAGGAGGAAGAGGAGGAGGAGGAGGAGGAAGAGGAGGAGGAGGGTCTACTACATGAACCACGGAGACGAGCTACCCGACGCGATGAAGCTCCATTGTTATCCCAGGCCCTAGATGTAGCAGTGGCCCCAAGCACTACGTGGACGTACGGGATATGGCAATGCGAGTATTGAGTAATACGACCACGCCACAGGTTTACCATCGCCGACTCATCTGTATAACAAGCGACGGCCGACAGCTACCATGGAAAAGGTCACACATGCGCGTACGCGGTGATCGCCCATCATGAGTACGAGTGGTTCCCGAACACAGTAAGTACGTCTTGTTTGCTGTCTCGACGCATACGGTGTACGACAGTACGCCGATACACTGCACATATCCCCATTCGCCGTCGATTGTACATATCCCCATACGCCGTCTATTGCGCTACCATGTATTCAGCAGCGTACACGGTAATAGGTCTCGAGTAGCTCGCAGCACGCACACTGTAAACGTATCCTCCTCATTCCCCCCGCTCCATTTCGACCTCTTGAGCCTGAGGAGGAGGAGCAGCAGGAGGAGAAGGAGGAGCAGGAGGAGGAGGAGGAGCAGGAGGAGGAGCAGGAGGAGCAGGAGGAGGAGCAGGAGGAGGAGCAGGAGGAGGAGGAGGAGGAGGAGGAGGAGGAGGAGGAGGAGGAGGAGGAGGAGGAGGAGGAGTATGAGGTTTGTGTTTATGCAGCTTGTTGCTCCTCCCGCGGCCTCCTTCTCCCCCCCCGTCCTCCGAAGCAGAAAACCGGCTGTCCAGTGGCAACAAATCAAGGGCATAAAAAACGCCCCTACCCTGGTTTACGAGGCGCTGTGCGCTGAAACTCTGCGTGATGTGCCGCGTTCTGGCGGCTCTAGGTTTTGGGGGTTCCCAGGAGGTTTACAGACCATGCACTTGTAACCCAGGGTAGGGTCGTTTTTGTCATCCCTCAAACAAAGGGCCTCCGCGACCGCGGGGGCGGGCGCCCGAGCGCGGACAAGGGGTGGCTTCCGCAGCGCTGCGGGAGGAGGAGGAGGAGGAGGAGGAGGAGGAGGAGGAGGAGGAGGAGGACTGCCAAGTACGCTATTGGCTTCAGGACGCCTAAGCCCATCTTCAAGGACGAGGCGACCCACAGAGTTCGGTGATCCACGACCGCTTGGAAGCTTCATCCTGAAAGTCCTGAGTTTGCGTGGCGCGATAGGCACTCGCGTGGGAAAGGCCGGGGTCGCGTGCGAACACGCCCCTCACAATGCGGAACGTGCGTGCTCCACGCTCTGATTGATGAGCCCTCTGGTGTGGTCAGCACGCCGAATTGTCCGGCGGACAATTCCGTGCCCGCGCGCGCTCCTCAAATGTATTTGTGAGCACGGTGTCCAGAGCCCCCTCCTCCTACTTCCTCTCATCCCCTCCAGAGAGAGAGAGAGAGAGAGAGAGAGAGAGAGAGAGAGAGGAGAAAGGCGTCGGCGGTGGTGGCGCAGCGGGAATTTGGGCTCGGCTCTCATGGGCCGGCCGTGCGTGCCCGCCCGTGGACCCCTGGAGGGGCAGGGCGCAGCGACCCTTCCTTTTGGCCCGCCGCTTGTTTCAGAGGCCTCTGAAAGCCGAAAGGTAAGGACCCGACCCCCTGAAAGGTAAACCAATGACGCACGGATGCCTGACAAAGACTAGCGAAGAAAACGAAGAGCAGAAGACGAACCGATTGCTACCCTGAGGTTGCCATGGCGGTGCGTGGCGCCTTGAGGACGCATGCAACCGACAACCGACAAGGGCGCCTACATCGGCTACAGTGTGCACAGCGGTGTCCACCGTTTGGGGGGGGTCCCTCGGGCCAGAGGAACAGCCCGAACACCCCCCCTGGTTTGTGGCGCCTTGTTGGTGCACCCAGAACAGAAAATGATTGCTCGTGGCTGGAGCTCTGGCGCGGGGTTTTTTTCCGGGCCACTGGGATAGCCCGAACAGACCGCCTGACTGGCGGTTCCTTGACGACGCTTTTAAGAATCCAGCGGCGGGGCCGTCAGGAAACAAAGCGTCCTTGGTGCCGCGTGGAGCCTCGATGGCGCAATCCACGGCCAACGGGGGCGCCTGCGCAGGCTACAGTGCTCATGGTGTTGGACTCCATGTTGGGCGGTCCTTAGGGCTAAGGGAACAGCCCGAATCACCCCCCGTGGTTTGTGGCGCCTGGTGGGCGCGCCCAGAACACAGAACGCCCGCCCGTAGTAGTGGCTGCGTTGATGGGGGGGTTTGAAGGCTAAGGGAACAGCCCGAACAACCCCCGTGACCTTGATCATCCGACAGCGGGGCCGTCGTGAGCCACGGTTGCTGAGGTGGAAGGAACGGGGAGGGGGATGAGGGGAAAAACACCGAAGCAATGCTGCTCCAGACTCCTCTGGGGGAATCGGCTGGGGACGCACGGGGCGCCACTACTGGCGTGGTTTTGCCGCGCCCGACGAGCACCCCAACCGAGCCCCTGGAGGAGTGAGTAGCGAGGCGACAGTGGCAAGATGCCAGCACGGGCGCTAGCCTCCAGGACACAGCCTGGCGGCAAGGCCGGCGGTCCTGTTTTTTCTCACCATTCGCACACCTGAGGCACTGACCTCCAGGACATGGCCCGGCGGCAATGCCGGCGGTCCTGCTGCTATCCCACGCGCGAAAACCAGAGGTGATGACCTCCAGGACACAGCCCTGCGGCAGTGCCGGCGGCCCTGCTTTCACCCTTGCAATCGCACATCACAGGTGTTGACATCCAGGACACAGCCCGGCGGCAATGCCGGCAGTCCTGCCTTCACTCCACACCCGTACACCATTATAGAGGCGTCGTCCTCCAGGACACAGCCCGGCGGCGAGGCCGGCGGTCCTGCTCCCACTCAACACTCGCGCAGCAGAGGCACTGACCTCCGGGACATAGCCCGGCGGCAGTGCCGGCGGCCCTGCTGCCATCCCACTCGCATATCAGAGGTGCAGACCTCCAGGACACAGCCCGGCGACCATGCTGGCGGTCTTGCTTCCACTCCACACTCGTACACCATAGGGGCATCGCCCTCCAGGACACAGCCTGGCGGCAAGGCCGGCGGTCCTGCTCCAATTCAACACACGCACACCAGAGGCACTGACCACCAGGACATAGCCCAGCGCAGATGCCGGCGGTCTTGCTGCCATCCCACGCGCGAATCCAGAGGTAGTTACCTCCAGGACACAGCCCGGCGGCAGTGCCGGCGGCCCTGCTTTCACCCTTGCAATCGCACATCAAAGGTGTTGACATCCAGGACACAGCCCGGCGGCAATGCCGGCAGTCTTGCCTTCACTCCACACCCCGACCTCCCAACATACCCCCAAAACAAGCTCTCACATATAAAAAGACGCCGCTCTATAATTTAAGAAACGACGTCGTCAATTCTGTGAAATTGACGCCGCATATGCGGCATCCAACATTAGGCCAAAAAGGCAACGGGGGAGAAAACAAGGAAGAAGAAGAGAGGAGGAAAAGGAGGAGGAGGAGGAGGAGGAGGAGACGGCGGACGAGCGGAAAGAAGATGAGGTCAAGGCCAGAGAAGCGTGCTCGATAGTTGGCTCCAAGATTGCCCACGACTGCTCTCGAGGGCCGCTGGAGGGGCCAGATAGGGGCCCACAAGAGCCGAGATGTGAACTTGGGGTGGTTGTCGTTGGCTGTTTACTTCCCGCCCTAAGGTTACCCCGAGACCGCCATCAGGCCCCCAAGAAACCAACCAACAGGCCCCAAGAGGCCCCAGAGAGGCCCGCAGGATGCCTTTGGGTGTTGTATGGGTGTCCCCTCTCGGGTTTCATAGTTATCCCTTCTCTTGGGTCAATCGGTGCCCCTCCCACCTCTTGGGTATCATGCCTGTCCCCCGTCTTGGGTTTCATGCCTGTCCCCCCTCTAGGGTTTCATGTCTGTCCCCCTCTTGGGTTTATGGGTGCCCACCCCCCGATTGGGCTTCATCCCCCCCTCCCCTCTACGGGTTTAGGGGAGTCCCCGCTCATGGGTGTCATGGGTGTCCCCCCTCTCTCTGGGCCTTTATGGATCCCCCCCTCGTGGGTTCCATGCATGCCCCCGCCCGTTCTGTGGTTTTATGTGTCCCTGGTCGGGGATGTAAGTGCCAGGCGCGTTGTTTGAACGCATACTTGTAGATATATACACATATGTATGTATGTAGGCAGCCATCGTGGTAAATCCTGTGGTGCATCCATTAAGGCATGAACAATTCCTTAGCCAGTTTTGGCTCAAGATTTTGCCTAGCCACACATGTGCACTCGCAGGCCCGCAGTAACCTTGGACGAACATGCGTGCAAAGCAGCGCTAACGTTGCTGCCAGTGACAGCTTGGACGAAGGAGATGAAATTCATGTCGTACCCTCTGAAGTTCAAGGTCGCCCCAGACTGGATGAGAGGCAAGAAGATGATACCGTGCGTGGCT